ATCCATCCATCCAACTATCCATCCATCCAGCCAGCTATCCATCCATCGACCTATCCAACTATCCATCCATCCGTCCAGCCATCCATCCATCCATCCAACTATCCATCCATTCAGCCTGCTATCCATCCATCCATCTATCCAACTGTCCATCCATCCGTCCAGCCATCCATCCATCCGTCCAGCCATCCAACTACCCAGTTTTGCTTCCAGCTATCTATCCATCCATCCATCCATTCATCCAACCAACCAACCTACCTAGCTTACTAGACTGTTATGCGTCAATAAGAAGTCACCTGTGCTCAATTCTGTATCTAGTAAGAGCTCACAGAGAGGCCGTTAGAATAAAGTTGTTGAAATGATTGATGAGCAGATGGTGGCAATTACACGTAGAGGCAGCTGGTGTATTTACTTTCTAGACATTTACTCCTGTACAAAGTAACAGAAGTCAGTATTCATGAGCCAGTGTGAGCTCAAGCAGCTTGGTCATAACGAAGTGCAAGAGGCAAAAATCAACATGCACAGAGCCGGGAAAGGGGGACAGCGCCAGAAGCCTTTTCAAATGAGAGAAAGTCTTCATGCGTTCTTCTTGGGGGTGTCAGATGTTTTATGGAGCACTTAAATTATTCAGATTTATTTGCCTTTCAACATCTTCTTCTCTGCTCCTCTGAGGGACTGCAGAGTTAACCGTCATCCCTCCACCTTATGTGGTGCTGCCATCTACAGGCCCGATCGGGTACTGCAGGTGCTCTTGCAACAACTCGATATCCACTGAACAGTTGTTCTCAGGCATTTAGCACACGGGTCAAAGAGTGGGAAAAGGTCTGGGGTTGAACCGCGCGGCTCAGCCGCAGATTGAACTGATTATTTCTGTCTTTGTAGTTGAAACGCGGAGATGACTGAAATCTATCGCTGCAGTCGACTGACAAGCAGCAGGCCCTCTCGGTCAGAGGGCAGGTGGAAGCAACTCTTTAGGGGACTTATAAGACTAACATCAAAACACCCTGCTGCTGCTGCTGCTGTTATTACGAATTCAGCAACCCTTGATGTGAACTCTCTACTAGGACGCAGAAATACAAAAAACTAATAGAATGTTACAAAAGAGAGTTTTCCTGTTAAATGGTCATCATATACATGCAGAGAAAGATGCAGCTCATTTTGTGTTGTCCTCTGTCATTCTTGCCTTAACTGTCTATAAATAGCAGTGCATACACAGCTGGTGCTGCTCCCTCCATCTGCACTACCTACAGTACAGTATAGTATGGTTTAATGCACATGCATGCATGTACACACACACACACACTTACATACACTGAGGGTTATGGTTTAACCTTACCAGCTGCACCTCACATACTGTGCAGCATGATTACACAAAAGAGACATCCAACAACATCCAGTCATCATTAACGTTGAAAGACCCCCGCTGTTACATGACCTGCCTCTGTCATCTGTGTCACACAGCGGTTTGAAGTTTATGGCACATTTCTGTCTACCTGCAGTTCATCACAGTTATGAATCCCACAGGAGAGGTGGGCTTTAGTAACAAACGGATTCATCTACAGGAAGCTGACTGATGAGCTATCACTTTGGCCATCAGTCTGAGACACATCTACGGAACACACATCCACACACACACACACACACACACATACAGAAGGTGTAAAGTAACTCCGGCAAACAAAAAAAGAGAGCAAATGTGAACAAGCATGTCGTTCACCTCTGGATTTGGGAGAAATAAGAGGCCCATTCTGATGTGTTATCAGGCTAAATAAAGTATTCACCTGTTCCAAGACTCTCAGCACAATCTGAAACAAGGCAGAACAAGGCTCGGTGATGGAACCTAAGTAACCTATAAGACGTCGTCCTCTAGGGAGAAAAAGGGTCCAATACTCAACTAAACTTTCTGTCCAAGTAGACAAGGAAACGTTCCCCTACAAACCACCTGATTTGTGCAACCATTGCCCTCAATAAAGCTCTCCTCTCACAACAGAGACGTCAAAGAAGATTTTACAATCCGAAGGTTCCTTCTCGACCGGTTAGCTACGTGTGGTTGGTTTGGAGCAGCAGGGCAAGCACCTAATAATAAAAAACAAACGGGTGGCGGTCAGGTAACAAATCATTTTTCAACATGGAAGTTACAGCCGCAGCGTTAACTCGCTTCTGCTGTTTCCACAGTGTGGAATCATTTCTGTCAAATCAGGATATGCGGTGCATGCATATGCATATATTTTGCACATTACTGGATATTCTATTTAATACCAAGCCAAATTCAGCAAGCTATAAGAAGTGACACAGTACTACTGCAACCAGATGTTGACAAATGAGAATGTGGAGGGAAAGGAGAGCTGGAGAACACGGGCTTGTGAGGGAGCGAGGATGTGAAAGAGCTGCTGCACTAGCCTCGTAGCTCCTCCAGTCATTGGAATACGGCCAATCGATCTCGTTCAGGTGAGCCGGTGCTACGAGCATCATCTCCCAAGGAGGACTTGTCACATGATAGTGAGTGGAAGTAGCTGGCGGGCGCCAAGTGAATCATGCTAGCTTGCATATCTGTCCAGCGGCACCTACACACATGCAGAAGTGTATACAGTACATGGGGACACACGCCTCCACTACTGAACCTCTGAGATCACTAGAGGCTGAGCTGCAGCGTGGAATAGAACAGGTCTGACACAAAAACAGACTGATAACACGGCTGCGTGTCTCTCCTGGCGAGGAACAGCACACGCTCCTACCTGTGTGACTTTCTCTGTGACGTGGTGCGTCCGGTCGATGAGTTTGCAGGGAGCTATGATGTCCATCTCCCCGCTGGGCAGGGCGATGAGCTGGTCCGGTTTGAAATCCACAAAGTTGAGGGTGATCTGAGGGATTTTGGAGATGGTGCGGTACCGCATGAGGTCCGAGTCCGACGTGGAGTTCAATATGTTGGACTTGCTGTTTACCGCGCCTGCAAACACACACGGAGCGGGAGGTGAAATTCGATGGGGATGATAGGAAAGGTAGGCGTTTTTTTTTTTCTTTTTTTCTGCGTCCGACTGCTCACCGGTGCCGCTGCATCCCGGCCGGACACTCGCTCTGTGGTTCTTCCGGTCCCTGTTGGGCCTCATGGCCTCGATCTCGTCTACAGAGGACGCACGACGCATGCTGTGGAAGCTCTCCCGCGAGCGGCTGCGCGACAGGGAGGAGTTGGAGCCCGAGGCGTCCGGGTTGAGGCTGAGACGGTGGTGAGGCGCTACGCAGGGGGACGACTGGGTGAGGGTATCCACCAGGTGGGCTCTGGGGGGAGGTGGAGGAGGAGTAGGAGTGGGTGCAGGAGGGTCGGGGCCCAGCAAGGTGCACTGGTCCTCCTGGCGGTCTTCTGGCCAACTCTGTAGGGCCGACCTAGGAAATGCAGGACATGATGGGTAATAACAGAGTGTGGCAGATTTGGAAGCCATAAACTGCATATTTCAGGTGAAGGTTAGGGGTCTATACTAAAAACAGAATGCTGCTGGTTTTGGCTAACAGTGACCTTTGACCTCACTGTAGCAGGAAAAGGGACAAGAGGAGTTCCTGGCAGAAAGCATTCAAGATGCATTTGCTACAAGGAGCTTGACATGTGAAACAGAAATGAAAACGGGACACGGTAAGAACAATCCACATATCACAGAATTACACCTACAATGTGAGATAATGTAGCTTTTCTCAATCGATAGGATTTGCGCCTTTTTTTTTTGGTAAGAAATACACCAGAAATACAGCACCATGCTCAGAAGGCTAATGCATAGACCCTTTTTAGGACTCATTCGTGAGCGTGAGACATGGTTCACATAATCAGTATTTAAAAGAAGCCTCTGCTAACCCATCTCTTTGTCCCCAGCATGTCCCTCACAGGGCCTACCTGCTGCTGACGATTTGCTCCTGGTGGTCTAGCGGTAAAGGGGGAAGAGGCCGTAACTCCCCGAGGCCCAAGGACTCGTGACTGCGGTGGTCTGGGTGCAGCGGCATACGTGTGGCAGTGGAGATGTGAGCGGCCTCCGTGTCGTCCAGAGACACTTTGCTGTTGGACAGCGAGCGCAGGAGGGGAAGACGCAGCTTGAAGCCTCGTGGGCGACCTGGAGAGGAGCAAGAGGAGGATGAGGAAAAATGGAGGAGAGGACAGGTGTGTTTCCAAGATTATACTGTCGCAGGAAGGAGAGATGGAGGAGGGAACTGCAAGGAAAAGGGAGATTTAAAGAGAGAAACGAGTAGAGACAGGACATGGGAGGATGTTCTAGGTATTGGAGGTCATGCTAGGAGGGAGGGAGGTCTGAACTGGATCAGTCTCATAGACCTTTAAAATACAGCTTCAAAAACAATCTACAGGAATTTGGGACAGTAGGACTTATTGGATTTGGGTTTAAGTCAAGTTAAAAACAAAAAACCAAGACAGACTTGGTTTTGAATGTTATCACTGTTCCCCAGTGTTATCCCTCTGGAACATGAAGTGTAGGTTCATTTTGCCAGAAACCTGATCCAACACAAATACCCAGGATTCACAGCAGTACAAATGGCTCAGCCAATACAACAGCCACCTGGCCTTTCTGGAAAATGGAAAATGAAACAGGTGAATTAAAGTGATGGTTGTCACTCCTCGCCGACTCAACATAAGTCCACTTCGGTTATTGAAATGTAAGTGCATGTTGGACGAGGATTTAAAGTCACGTAACCAGTCAAACGTTCACCTACTGAGAGTCAAGCTACTGTACTCTCTCTACTACTGCTCTATGAATAGTTACGGACGTTATTATTCCTTCAGCGATGTTTGCTCTGATGATTTTTCTGTTTTATATAAAAAATGAAATATTTTGAAGCCTTCCTGATTTAAGTCTCGAGCAGAAAGTGTGCAGACAGACGGGACACAAAGTCGCTCCAGTCTGACTTGATTATTGCAGCGCAGAAAGAGCAGAGTGAGTGAGGCCTAGTCGGTATCTACCGGTGACGAGCCAGGCGGGCAGGCGGTGGTTGAGGTCCTGTTTGTGGTGCAGGAGTACTTCCTCTGTCATGCCCTCGAAGTTGAGGATGAACATGATCACCGCGCCATCTTCGTTCTTCACCGGCACCACGTCCACCATACACGGGAAGCACTGACCTGCGTGGGAAGAGAGAGAGAGAGATGGATAAAGTCAGACTGATTGTATTTGGTGGAAGCTTTCATGCACAACCTCTCACGGTGCCAAACGTGTATATGGTTCTTTTTCTCAGAATCGAGGATTAATATCTCCGACCCTGGGGAAGTCAAGTGAGGCAACAACAGTGGAATTCTTCGCACCAGTTCGATCGCTGTTGATGACTGTGAGATTCTACATGATGCTTCTGTGTGCAGAAACACTGAGCCGATGCCTCGTACGCACTCATTACACAGGACCACTTATTTCACGCACACTTTTCCCCCCATCCTCTCCTTATTAAACGTACATCTGCACTTAATCAACGCACGTGCTCTCTAATCTGCCACATGAGTGCCAGAACAGCTAAGTAGGCGTGAAATTAGACTACATGTGACAGTAAGTGGCTGGGAGTTTCTCTGCCAGGTCTGTAGGCCTGGATACTTTGTTCTGCACACCGCAGCAGGACTGCAAGTTGAATAAGGTCTTACCATTCTGGTTTTGACACTAGGAATTTGAACCTTCAAAGCACCGAAATACACCCACACACCCCCACACACACACACACACACACACAGAAATAGCATTGTCATCCTCATACAAAATGTGATGGATATTATCTGGAAGCATCCAGAAAACATCTGGAGAAATGACAAATTTTAAAGTTCACATTGTACAGCAGGAGACATAATGGACACTTACATCTATAGCAAATGAATACTGCAGCCATATTGTCCTGTGACACATCATTTGAATGCAATTTAATTTGGCTACTCTAGACCATACAACTCCTTGTCCCCCTCGTCCTAATTACATTCCCTTTCTAAAAACCAAGCTACGGTGAAATGCACCCAGTTCACAATGTCAAACCCAAGGCTCACACTTTAAGAAAGTCATTTAGTTAGCTCGTCGCTAAAATCTCTTGTGGTTCACACATGTACACCGTGTGGTGTTGAACAGCTCCTCTGACTCGTCCCGCCTCTTACCTGGACAGTGATGGTCTACAAACGGCAGCGTGGAGCGCTTTTACATCCGACGCGGTGTGTTGCACAACGCCACGTACAGTGTTTCTGCTGCATGCCTGTCTCTCTCACTCACTCACTCACTCACCCGCCCATCATCATCATCTCACATCATCACTGGAGAGTGGGCCGAAATCCGATTGGACGGCGGCGTAATCCCAACGCAGGAGGAGAAAAATGTGAAACACAGGGAATACTAAAGGATTACACCATCTGGCCATATCTAGCAGAGAGTGTGTGTGTGTGTGTGTGTGTCTGTGCCCATGCATGCTTACGTGCACATGTAGGTAGATGCCCGGTCTCATGTTCATTCATAAGCTATTGGGTCATTCATGCCTGTTGACAGCTGTGACACTGGATTTGCAGCCGTTTTAATCGCTGAAGGTGTCGCTGCACGACCAAAAGCCGCTTTACAGCTCTGCGGGCCAAACTTGCAGACACGTGTCAGCATTTTTCCAATGTTTTGGGCTGTTTGTATGACAAGACGTGGCCCCAGATTGCCCAATGAGTAGGGTTGTGATAAGATACGCATCCTGATACAGGTGTTAAGGTTCAATGTATCGCGGCTGAAAAAGGTGTTCTGAGAAAGTGTGAGTCACCGGAACCACGAGAGGAGGAGCCTGAGAGATGAACAGACGCAGAGACGCTCACTCACTCACTCACACATGCGAGCAATCACAGGATCCTCCTGGCCGAGTTGATAATAAAGTATCGACTGAGTTCATATTTGCATGTCAACTATTCGTTAAAAGTCAATACAGTGTTCTTGAGAATGGATACGGTATCGCAAAACATAATATCACGATACTTTGTTACTAGTTGATCCCTTCGCCATCATTCGTGTAAGCAGAGACATGAAAGTGAATCCTACTGATGTATGAGCAGGTCTGTGCTGAAGGACAAGTCAACAGCAGAGACATGATAGTCTTATCAACTGGTAAACATATGAATACACAACACCTCATATCATGTTGTCAAACAGATTCAATTGGATTAATGGATTCTCTCACTGATTCCAATGACTGCCACATGCAGAGACAGATTTACAGCACTGGTTTTCATTTGCTGGTGTGCGTGTACTGATGGAGGACGATGCCTCAGAAACACAGAACCAGCAACTCTTCATGTACTCAGCCGTCCACCTGTAAGAGCAGCACGCTGGGAGCACGTGTGTTTCTGCAAAGACACGGCACACAGTCATGTGTGTTTTGTGGATGACAGATGTGATTTGCACAAACACACACATGTGTGCACACACACACACTGCGATGTAGGATTACATGTTAACAAAAGAGGATTTAACTTCAGTTCATTGTTTTAAGTCGAATACATTATAAATCAAAGTGTTTACTGTCAGTTCTTAATCATCTGGAACATTCACTCGGTTATATTCCGCTTCTCTGAGTGTGTTCATATGCAAGTGTGCATTTGCTTTAAATACATGTACAATGCATGCATACATGAATGCAGAAGTGCAATGTGCAGTGTGTTCTACTGTCTTTGCAGACTCATGCACACATGAGCGGGTTCATCTGTGTGTGTGTGTGTGAGTGCGTCCTGAATTTGGCAGAGTGCTGGATAAAGGATAAAGACTATATCTTTTTTGGGCACATCAGATCTGTTGCTGACCATCAAAAGCATCTATGAACACTGTTAGAGATTTCCCCCGAGAGTATGTGAAATGCACAGAGCTCTGAGGTTAATGGGCCAAAGGACATTTCATCTAAATGCTCCGGCTGGACCTCTTCCAATTCAGCGTGTAGCGGCTGATAATCTGATTCAGCGCTGCTGATTTATGAAGCTCGGGGAGATTATCACAATGCACTAAAACGCATCCAAAAAAAAATAAAAAAGCACAGAGTGCAAACTGCTCATGACGGCCCGGGGAAGGTCCAGGGATCATACGACACAGTGGGATCAACGAAGAGAGGAGAAAAACAGACAACACAACTGTGAATGTAAAGGACGACTCAGATTACTGTACTGGAAACAATCACGCATCATGGAGAGCTTTATCTGGAGGGGATGCTCAGGCTTTATGGCAGCGATTGAGAAAGTGAGACCTTGCATCAGCTGTCAGGGTGCGTTATTCGGGGGGACTGGAGCATTTGAAACAAAATAAGAAGGAGTGCAGTGTTTTAGATGGTATCACAAAGATGGCTTCAGCTAACCTGCTCAGACAACCTCAATGTGGATTTACAAAAAGGACTAAATCACGTATATACCAAGCGGTCCTTACAGGGTTTTTATAGGTCAGGTCATGTGGATTCACTGAGGGCCTTCACAAACTGTGACTGAAGTTGTATAACTGTGTGATAAAATATACTTTATCGTCATCGTATAACCAGACAGTACAGTGGCACACCAAAGACACTGTGAACAATACATAGAGAGATATATTATTACATAGGCATTATACAAGGAGATGATAATTAAAAAACATACGACATAATGCATTAAACTGCCTCCTTCCCTATGAACTACATGAGTAAGCAATAAGCTGTTTTCTCGTTGAATCGTGGTATAGGCGTTGGGTGGAAAGACAACTTCTTTAGAAATCGTGCAAGGAAGCGAGGAAGGAAGGAAGGACGAAGGGTTGGTATGAGGGGATGAGGAAAGGTAGGAGAGCAAAGGCAGAAAGCTGGGTTAGCAGAGCATTGAGACGGTGTGAGGGAAACTGACTCAACCTGCAGACCTTGTTGGGTTTAGAGTGACAAAGTGGGAAGGATTAGCTGTTCAGGAACATCTTCCTTCCAGAGAGATGTGGCTGTTCCCAAACAACCCTGACGTCAGACCACAAACAACTCAGACGAGTCCTCCAACAAGAGAACCCTGAAGAAGGTCAGGGAGGTTTGAGCAGCTATCGTCTCTTCTTTTCACCCGAGAGAGATGAACAGGTACACCGCTCTGTCCTGCAGAGCGCTGCATTAGAAATTAGTACCATAATCTCTGCGATAGAACAAGTGGATTGAAGGAGAAAAAGATTAGAGTTTGATCAACCACCTCCTCGCTTCTGTGCTGAGGTGAAGGGATCAGAGAGTCAGAGATGATAATAAAGAAACACCTCAAATGAAACATCAAGCACTATAGTAATTACATTCATTACATTATGTATATATTATTAAATATTATTAGTCTTTTTGCAAACATGGACGTATACAGTATAGTATATGAACGTCACAGTGTGGCCAAAATAACGCTGGTTTACATTCCTTATGCTCATCTTTAGGACTTCATTGCTGCTTTTATCAAGGTGGTCCTTGTAGTACTTTTCTCTTAAGTAACGTTGTATTTGTGTTTAAACGAGAGCGTAGAAGGTTTTTACCACATGACACAAGCACCAAAATACTGGATCAATACCATGCAGATCACATACAGATGCTTCCACTCCACCTGGTGGACATCGGTGGTCTCTGCACACTTACAGATAGGTTACAAGACGTCTCATATTTATCTCCGCTCTACAGTTCAGAGAGTTGTTCATGCCTCCTGTGCCGACTCAACTATATATGATTTTAAGATGATCTTTTCTTGTGTGGTTTGTTTCAAATAGAAAACCCCCAAATAAAGTCACTTTGAGGAGAATATGTAAAACCAGCCAACAACAAATTCAAAGGCAGGTAAGTTCTCAGTGAGGATCAGCAGCTCACTGGGAAAGAGAACATGGAAGCTTCGTAGAGGACATATATTTACGGGTCTTATTAGTTTCCAACTGTTGTCAAAGAGAGTGTCACTAATGTAACTCACAGTTGTTGCTCCTTGCAAACAGTGTGGACACACACACACACACACACACACACACACACACACACACACACACACACACACACTTATTTACAGACACACTCTGCTGTATCGCTCTTTGGCAGAAAATAAACAAAATGAAATAAAAGAGGAAAAGGGGCAGTTCTTCATATCCGCTGGGACGGCTTTAAATGTTCTACCAGCCGGCTGGCTGCGGG